GCTTATTTTGCTAATTAACCTTTGCCTATTTGTAATTCTTTGCCTATTTTTATTCTTTTCCTGCTTCATTCAGGGAAAATGAGTGACTACAGAGTGCAGCAAATTTGGCTGAAAGGAGAATGAAAGTGGTGGTATGTCTCAGTGAGATTGTATGGCACTGGATCTCATCAACAAAGTTCTGGTTTTCTGGAGGAGGTTCTCTTTCAGAGATGTGTGTAAAAGTAAACAAGTGAAAAGGATTCCTCAAACTACAAACACCTCAGAAAAACACTCTGCCTCTTTCTCAACTTTGCCCAATATCTGACTTACCAAAAAGTCTCAGCTGTCAAACGAAACAGATACTCTTCTTACCCTGATTCAAACTTTGGGCTACAGTTTTTTATGTTTTATAATCCATATCGTGAAATGGCCCTTTCTATCAGAACACTGTCTTCTCTTGGCTTTGTAAACCTACTTGTTTATGAGCTCTTCTGCCTCTTGCAGCTGCTTCTTAGGCTTTGCTGGCTTCTCTCTGGATTCTGTTCTGTCTTTCTTTTGCTCATTGTATACATTAGTTGATAAGAAACAATAAGTTTCTGAGCGGAAGTACTGGGAATGAAGATAAGGTAAAATATATTGAGTAAGAATGGAAAGATTGGACTGTCTTGTCTCATTCTGACAGCTCTTTTTTTTCTGTCAGTCATGGGGTTTGAATTCAGGGTCTGGGCTCTGTCCCTGAGCTCTTTTGCTCAAGGCTAATACTCTACCACTTTGAGCCACAGCCCCACTTCCACATTTCTGATGGCTAAATAAGAGTCTCAAAGACTTTCCTGCCCAGGCTGGCTTTGAACCTCAGATCTCAGCTTCCTAAGTAGCTAGAATTACAGGCATGAGTCACTGAAGCCTGGCTTATTTCTGACAGTTCTTGAAAGAAGTTCAAATGACATGAAGAAATGCTGACTATCCTCCAAAATGCTATAAAAGAAACACAAATCAAAACAACATTGAGATTTCATTTTTCCCCAGTCAGAATTACCTATTAAGAACACTACTAACAACAATGCTGGAGGAATAGAGGGGGTTATAGATTATTGATGGAAATCAGCATGGAGATTCCTTTAAAAAAAAAAAAGCACCAAGAAAACCACAACTAGAACTACCACATGTTCTAGCAATATCACTCCTGAGCATTTAACCACAGAATGTAAATCAGAATATAACAGAAGCTCTTGCACATCCATGTTCATTACAGCACTGTCACAATAGGTTAGCTATGAAAACAGCTCAGAGCCCCTACAACTGATGAATGACTCAAGAAAATGTGGTCTATATATGCAAATGAACATTATTGCCATAAAGAAGAATGAAATTATGGCATTTTTAGGAAAGTGGATGAAACTGGAAATCAAGCCATGTTCAGGTGGTTGTTTGCATTTTTCTCTCATTTTTTTCTATCGTATTCAGATGCTATATCTAAAAGATCAACATAAACATATATGTAAACATATACAGGATCACATACACATATATATAAATATATGTGAGGTACCTATCTGTATCTAATCTATATCAATATAAATATATTTGTGGGAATGCTTGATGAGATTAGAAGAAGAGAAAGAAATGCTACAGGATGAACAATAGCAGAATACATTGCATCTGTGAATGGAGATGGAAAAACCAAACTCAGTGAAGGCTGTTGAGTAATAAAGAGTGCGTGGGAAACATGTGAGTATATGAAGGAGTGCTTCTAATCATAGTCACTCCTTCACATGGTCTGTGCATGTGTGAACAATTCACATGCACCTTAACAGAAATGAATATTAGGAAAGTAAAATGTCCTTTTTGGAGTATGGGTACTAATAGGAGGGAGGAAAGAGAACAGAGAAGGTAAAAGAGGATACATATGAACTATGTCCTGTACTTGTGAAAATGGAACAATGAAGCTGGGATTGGTTTAGAAAGGCAGAGGGGGATAAGAATTACAAGGGGCTCCTTTGTTAGGAAATGGAAAGACTTGGAAAAAATTATATTAAGTGAAGTAAGCCAAGCCCAAAGAAACATAGATAGGTTCCATGGTTTCCCTTATTTGCAATATCTAGTATATGTATGACTCAAGCAGAAAAGGTCAGATAAGGTGATGTTAGGGAAATGAACCTTAAGATATGTATTTAAATGTTTTTTTTCTTTCATGCATTTGTTTCTAATGCATTTATAAGATTATTTCTTTGTTGTTTTGTATGTCCCTCCCCCACAGTATAACCCCTGCTTTCACTGTATTTGATGTCGGTATAATTTGTGGAGGGGAAGAGGAAAAACAAGTCGTTTAAATAAGGATACAGGTGGACCCGTTGCAACAATGAGAAGTACAAGTTGTCATGTGGAAAACGAACTTTACAACTTTGGTGGGGGGGGGGAGGATTGGGTGGGGGGACAGGGGCTGGGAAGGCTGGGAAGGGATGGGAAGGGTAAACAAAGGAGGAGGCTACAATGCTTGGTAAGAAATGTACTCACTATCTTGCCCATGTAATTGTAACCCCTCTGTATATATATTTTCACAATAAAAAATAAATAAATATTTTAAAAAATTGAATTACAAGGGGCTGGGAAGGTGGCTCAGTGGTAGAGTGCTTGCCTTGCATGGATGAGGCCCTGGGTTCGATTTCCTAGCACCACATAAGCAAAAAGAAAAAAAGCTGGAAGTGGCGCTGTGGCTCAAGTGGTAGAGCACTAGCCTTGAGCTGAAGAGCTGAGGGACAGCGCCCAGGCCCAGAGTTCAGGCCCCACAACCGGACCCCCCCCAAAAAAAGAAAGAAAGAATTACAAATCATGCATATATGGACATGTCAAAATGAAACCTCCTTGGACAAATAATTGGTGTTGATGCTAATAAAAATAAAATAATTTCATTTTGAAAGAAAAGAAATTGTGACGATTACCAGGAAGGGATTTCAACTAACTCAGGTCAAATATAGGAGAAGGAAACATTTCCCAAATAGTGAGCATTAATGTTTTGTAGACATTACTGTTACAAAAGCAATCTAACTACTTACCTATCCATCCATCCATCATCTTTCCATCCATCCATCATCTATCTCTCTGTCTCTATCCATCCTTCCACCCTTCCATCCATTATCTTTTATATATCTATCAATCTATTATCTATCTCTGGGTTCTTAAAGGTTCTGAAATTCTAGTCCTCAACAACCACATAAAAATGAAAAAAACCTTTCTAACTCTAAGATCTTTATTCATCAGTCACTAATAGCTCAGCAAGTATTCCGCTTATATAGAGCTAGTCATTGTTTTGACATCTAATGTATCATATGATAGCGTAGTTGCTCAGATGGATTGACTATTCCTGAACATAGATCCTCAGCCCAAGTGTGGGTTCCCCTTTATCTCCTGAGGTACCATCATCCCTTCACCTTTGTTCATGTTCCACCAGCCAACCACTCTGCTCACTTCTCATTTCCCATCCCAACACCATTGGAATTGCAACCTTCTGTAGCTCCTTATTCACAACTAAAATTTTCAGTATCACACAGATAAGCATGTGTATAAAGGCCCTAGTTGTTAAACTGTAACTCCCTGAAAGACTGAGACTGTCTGTTTTCAATCTTTAATCTCTCTACCTACTATTTTAATCACAGTGCTTTACATTGAAGGCCCTCAAAATGCAAACTGCCTTAGGTTTAATTTTTTAATATTCCATTGAAAATTACTTCACATTTAATATTGCCATGTTAATGGAAATCATTATAGAACAATGTACTTCAGACTCTCTATTATCCATTAGTCTAAGAAGGGTTTCCTTTTCACCCTTATACCTTTGGGGGCTGAAGTGGCACTGGGGTTTAAACGCAGAGGTAAGTACTCTACCATTATTCATACAACATTCCCAACCCTTTTTGGTTATTTTTCAGAAAGCCTTTGAATTTTGCCCAGGTCAGCCTCAGACTGCCATTCTCCTACCAATGCCTTCTGAATCAGAGACCACAAGCATACATATACCACCAAGTCCAGCATTGTCTTTTTATACTTATTGTTTGTTTTTAGTTACTGTAGTAGTTTAATCAGAACTATCAAATGTACTGGCATATTTTCTTCCATTCTATATGTGCAATTGATGCCACCAACTTTTTAAAGGACAATTATGCTCTCTACATCCAAGTTGTTTCATTTTTATGTATGTGTCTCTGCACCGAGGCCTGATTGTTGAAGTACTAGAAAAAGAAAAACAAAACAGGTAGTAAGTAGAACACTTTGAGGAGAAATGTAATTAAATCTCCCTTCCCCAATAAAGAATGTTATTTGTCTATTACTGAGGAAAAGGCAGTCAGAATTCCTAAAAATGAGGGAATAAGAGGAAACTAGAAGTTCATTCTCACTATATAACCAGGCAAATGTTTCTCTATAATCTGGCTTCTTTCCTACTGTCTAAAACACACTGCAGAGACTGAATCAAGACCCCAAATAACAATGCTACTGCAGGGTAACAGATTTTTCTGTGACATCTGATCAGCTAAGGACACCAACAGGCTGACAGTTTCACCAGATAGGTGTACTGCTGGTTAAATTTCACTTCTAACTCCAACCCCGGAAGTGTTGGTTAAGATAAGCCTCAGATAAAAGCAATCCAACAAGAGAAACAAAATCCACTAGACTTCTCAAAAGATCTAAAGGCTTAAATCTGGAACTGAGACAATTCTCCGGATTGGATTGGAATGGGAAAGCATTACTAAACTTTCAAACTGCCAAAACAACAGAGTAAACGCATTATAAAACATACACAGGCGCATGCATGCGCGCGCGCACACACACACAGACCTTTAAATATTCTGCTTCTTTAACTAGACAGCCCAGCCTAGGGCTGGATTTGTGTTAATAAACTCTCAGCTAACCTTGCAAAGATTGCGGAAAAGGTGTCTAATTCTCCCTGTTCTTGGGGCGGGGCGGGGGGGGGTAAGAGAAGTTCAGCCGGCCACGCCCAAGCCCAGCTCTCGCTGGCACCACTGCAGAGTCCGTCTGGCAAATACAAGAAGGAACCCCTGCAGCCTTCGGGTCCCCCGCTTCCTGACCCACGAAGCCTCAGGCCGACCTGGGCTCGCTGAAAGGTCTCCGGGCGACGATCCGGGCTGAGGATGTTAAAGTTGGTGACGCAGAGCCCCGAGCTGTAGCCGGGGAAGGTCAGGAAGGGGAGGGCTCAGCGGGGCCGGGGGAGAAGCGGGGCGGGTAGGCACGGGGCTGGGTCGGAAAAGCTGCCTCACCCCGCGCTCCCCGGCCCCTCCGCCCGCTCCTCCCCCGCCCTCCCCGAGCTCCCAGCCCGGACCTCCCTTCACAGCCTCGGCTCTTCTTCCCGCAGGCTGCGAGCGTAGCGGCCCCGTCATGTCCCAGCCCGGCCCGAAGCCCGCCGCCTCCCCGCGGCCCCGGCGCGCCGCGGCTGCCCGCCACCCCCAGGAGGTGAGTGGCGCTGCGTTCCGAGCTAAGGGCCTGCGAGGAGGGACCCCCGCTCCGGGCCAGGCGGGCTGCCCCGGGGGTGGTGCCGGGCCTGCTCTGCCGGACCCCCACCAGATCCCCCCCCCCGGGACGGCCTTAGGTCGGGGTTCAGTGTCCACCACGCAGCAGGTGGCCGAAGGCGGCTGGGGCTTCCCTGGCTGGGCCCAGCGCGCTGGTGCTGGCGCCGGCCGGGTTTGAGGGGCGTAGGGGGAAAAGTTGGCTGATGAGAGGCGTCACAAGCTCCCGGGCTTGAAGAGAGAAGGAAGATCATCCAGGACCCCACAAAAGGCGCATTTCACCCCGGGGGTCCCGGTCTTGGGGGAGAAGTCGGGGCCGCAGGGCGTGGCTGCGACCAGAACGCCCTTCCCTAATTAGCCGCGACCCAACCGGGGGCGGGGCCTAGGCGGAGGGGCGGGGCTTGAGGCCGAGGAGGCGGGGTCAGAGGCTCCTCCCTCTGGTCCCCGCCCACCTGGCAGCTAGCTGTAGGGCTCCCCCGGCTCAGGGCCGAGCACCGGAGAGTGTGAGCCCCACGTCCGCAGCATCGCGACCCGCTCTGGGTCCTTCGCCTACGCAGCTCAGCACAAGCCGGTGGTTGTGATGGCGTTTGCAAGCTGGTGGTACAAGACGGTAAATGGAGGCAGCGATGCCTTGGGCAGGACTGGGAAGGGAGTGTGTTTGTTTTGCTCCTTTGGGCGTGCGAGGAAGGTCTGTCGAAGGCAAGGGGTGGAAATGGGGTGCGACCTGCTCCCAGACCTTCAGCTGAGGCTCGGGTGAGGCTGGAGGCTCACCCACCTGTGGTATGCGAGGGCGAGCCTAGAGTTCGATTTCGCAGCCTAGTGGGAACTGGCAAGTTGAATGGACCTGCCGTTGTTGCTGGAGGAATTCCACCCCTGGGGATGGACTTCTGAATGAGCTCGGACACCAGCCCTAAAGCCCAGATTTGTTTTCGAACCCAAAGTACAGTTTTTAAATTTGTAGATGGGCGCAAGTGCCATCTCCTACACAAGGGAGGTAAAAGAGTGAGCTCTAGAAGATTCCAAGAAATAGATGCAACTGAGATCAAAACCTTTGTTGAGAGGAGTGCTGGAGGGAAGGAGAGAGAGAGAGAGTGAGAGAGAGGAGAGAGAGAGAGAGAGAGAGAGAGAGGGAGAATCACTGCTCCATACTATGTTGCTTTGGCTGGGAGATTAACATGTTCCATTTGTTAAGTGTGCTGAATATCAGGCCTACCAGTTGGTTTTTGTGATACTCAATCAAGCTGGCACTTGTTTTGAAACCAGGAAGCATGATTAATATTAGATTGCTTTCCAAAAAAAGAAAGAAAAGAAAAGAAAGAGAAAAGCACAAAAGTATGCATTTATTTTGTCCCTCTCTCTCCTCACCTTCCTCCATCCCTCTTTCTCTCTCTCTCTTTCCACTCTCTATATATGTACACACACATATATGGTGAAAAATGTACCATCTATATTTGGTGACATTTAAAAAATTAGTTTAGCTTGTGGTATTGGGAAAAGCAACAATGTACTAGTCAGACACTCTTTTGACCTAGAAACCTTGTGTTAGAATGAGAAAAGTTTTACTTATCTGGCAATGACCACTTGTTGAGCATCTACTTTTGTGCCATTCATTGTATTAGTCCATAAATTATCTACAAATATAGATGGCATGGTTTCAGAGTCCACATTAGACTCATGATTATCAAGAAAATTGTGTTAGCTAGACTATGAAAAATAGTTTAAATCTTTATTTTCTTACTATTATGATACTATGTTATAGATTCCTTAAATTTTTTCCTAAAACTTCTTAGAATTCAGTTTTGCAGCTATTATGAAAACAAACTTTTTGCATGTAGAAATTTATTAAAATCAGTCATATGTTTGTTACCACACTTTAACTTTTCACAGATGAATGCTACCCAATAGAAATAAAGAGTGAGCCACATATGGAATTGAATACTTTCTAGTAACTACATGAAAAAAAGCAAAAAGAAACAGATTAATAAAAATAATGTATATTAGTTAACCTATTCCAGATATTTAGCATGGAATCACTGGGGTAACTTTCCAGATGGCTTATGTTCACTTTTTCATTTAGTTCTTCAAAGTCCTATGTGTAGTTTATACTTGACAGCACATCTCTGTTCAGTTTGCATTCCAGGGTGTTCAGAAGATACAAGTACCTACTGTTTATAATACTGGAGAGTAAAACTCTCAACATAGGCACATACAGATACAAACAATGCAACTATCTACATAGCTTCAAGCTCTTCAGAGATTCCACAAAGCCTGCCTGGAAATCATTCAAAAATTTATAGGTCCAATTTATAATACATATATGCATATATGCTTATGCATATAATGCTTATGCATATAATACATATATGCATATATGCTTATATATGTTGTATACATATGAAATATGCAGTATGTATATATAGAGAGTTTTGTAAATTTGTGTTTGTTGCACATATATATACATATCTCCTATGTATACATATGCATAGTTAGGCCTCTTTATTGACATATTCAACAATCATATATCAAAGATATTTCAAAACTTGTGTCTAGCCAGGCACTGCAGACTCAGACCTCTAAATACTAGCTATTCAGGAGGCTGAGATTTGAGATTCAAACTTCACAGTCTGCTAGCACAGACAAATCCATGGGATATTTAATTCCAGTGAACCAACAAAAGCTGAATCTGGCAGTGGTAGAACATTAGCCATAAGTGAAAAAGTAAAGAGAACAAGAGAGACTCTGAGTTCAAGCTCCAGCACTGGCACACTGGCACACATGCACATGCATGTACATGCTCACGCACAAAGTTTTATGTTTATATCAAATATGTGCAAACATTTTTTCTTATGTTATCCCCCAGTCAATATAGTATAACAACTAGTTACCTGACCTTTACATTAGGTATCATAAGAAATTTAAAGATGATTTAAAGTATGAGGGAGGATGTACACAGATTATATGCAAATACTATGTCATTGATGTAAAGGACCTGCATACCTGCAGACTTTTGTATCCTAGAGGATCCCAGGATCAATCTCCATGGATACCAAGGGATGATTGAATAAACACATATGTGTCTGGTAAATCTTACAACTAAAGTATCTTTAAGCCAGGGGCCAGTGGCTGAGATCTGAGGATTGAAGTTTGAAGCTAGCCTGGACAAGAAAGTTAGTGACTCTTATCTTGAATAAACTATTTAGAAAATCCTGGAAGTGGTGTTATGACTCAAGTGGTAGAGCACTAGCTTTGAGCAAAAGGTCAGGGACAGTGTCTAAACCCTGAGCTCAAGCCCCATGACCAGCAAAAAATGAAGAAATGTAATAAAATATCTTTTTTTTTTGGTCTGGTTGTGGGGCCTGAACTCTGGGCCTGGGCGCTGTCCCTCAGTTCTTCAGCTCAAGGCTAGCGCTCTACCACTTGAGCCATAGCACCACTTCCAGCTTTTTTTTTCTGCTTATGTGGTGCTGAGGAATTGAACCCAGGGCCTCATGCATGCAAGGCAAGCGCTCTACCACTGAGCCACCTTCCCAGCCCTAATAAAGTATCTTTAATGGGATCCTTTAAATTTTTTTTTGGGGGGGTGCCTTTAAATTCTTTAAAAGTTTGTGAATAGCTTAACTTTCAAAAATTCTGTTTCCTAGCTTTCCAAGTTTAGACAGAAGAAAAAGATAATATATAAAGAAGATAATTAAAAGACATGCTCATTTAAGAGCATGCCACCTATAAAGTTAATCAGTGAAACATTGCATATACATTTTATGCTAAAACAATGCTTTCTGAAGAATTTTGTGATTAGATTCAAAACACAAAATATGGAAAAAAACTACAATTGAAGAACATCTGATAAGCCTGATAGTGATTAAGAAGAGTAAGTTTGGGTTAGAGTAGTATCAGATCTCTGAGTCAGAAGTTGATTCTATTAATCCATGTTAATTAAAGGTGCTTTTTACTCTAATTAGACTCATGGCCCCAGTGACAGCATGGACAAAAAGCCCAGTCATTTGGAAGGCTCCATGATTATGTTCCTTCTGAGAAGAGTGTTGCAAGCTCTCTATGGCAGAACAGACAACTTGGCTGCAATGAATTTTAGAAATAAGAAAGTAAAATGATAGTGTCTACAGAAAGGGCCTAGATATTAGGGTCATGGGAAGGCTGAAGTCAAAACATATTTCTCTTTGGCTTGCAATCTCTGAACAGCTTGTTTTTCAACTATATTACAATTCTTTTAACACCCAGACTAATATCTGAAGATACTGTCTTTAGTCAGTTTTGATACCTCTTATAAATTTAATTATATTATACAAGTACTTTTTAAAAGATGATGTCCTGCAATGGGGGTGGAAACAGAGCATGTCATCTGAGATTCCAGTGCAGATTAGGGGGTAATTAGTTCTAACCAGGTTGTCTTGATGTCATTACCAGACATCTCTAAGCACACCATCCATACCTCTCCCCATTTTGAATAATTGCAGGATGGAGATCTTATTCATGTAATAATGAAATTTCTCAAGGTATTGCTTTCTTTTTTATGAGAACTTCCCCAAACAGCGTTATGACAACCAGAAAAATTTATAGGATCATAGAGGAAACAAACTATACCAAGTGTCTTTCAGTGAAGAAAATTGCAAAAGCAACTTTATCCAATGAACATTATTCCTATAAGTTACTTCTTCAGATAGGATTCAACACAGAAGGAAAAAGGGTCAATGGCTAGAGTTTTCTGAAAACATATGAATCTTCTTTTGACTAGAAAAGTTGTAGGACTCAAGAGTGAAGTGATTATGTTCTTAGTTGCTTACTGTCCTCGTGGGGTGTGTCATTTTCTATGTAGAAGACTACAAACACAAAAACTGAATAGATGGCCTGTGCCTGGCCTTCTCTTGCATTTCTTATGACTAAAACCACACAGGTATCCTAGTGGCAACAAAATAACTATAGAAATTCTTA